GAGTAAGTACAGTAACAGAATTTTTTACAGTAAATCATTATAGAAATCACGAACATTCCAATACAAAACTAACATAATCATATCTAAATTACTTGTATCACCACAATAGTGGGTAAGTACAGTAACAGAATCTTTTACAGTAAATCACTATAGAAATCACGAACATTCAAATACAAAACTAACATAACCATATCTAAATCATCGTATCGCTATAGCAAGTAAGTGCAATTGATACTGTTTATTATCCTTGACGCATGAATAAAACTGAGATCAGATTGTCGGATAATGACGGAATGCTGGCTTATTGGGATTAGTGCGACTTTCCTAGGTTGTGTTGACAATAATTAGTACTGCCACTTACACGGTCGATCAGGTGGCAGTACGAATTATTGTTAACACAACCTAGGAAAGTCGCACTCCCAATAAGCCAGCATTCCGTCATTACCGACAATCTGATCTCGGTTTGATTCATGGTTATTGATCAATAACAGAATTTTTACAGAAAATCAAAAATATCAATAGTCGTAGCTCTTAGTTATTATTATATTTATTATTTTTAATATTAAGGTTTAAAAAAGGATTTTGGAATTGGACAAGTGGTAATCACGACATTGATCAATTGATTCAACAAATACAACTTAATGCAATGAAGTCTAAAGACATTATTGAATGGATAACATTTAGCAAATTCACAAATATAAAGTAACTTGCTAAAGGAGGATTTAGCACCGTTTTTAAGGCAGTATAGATTGATGGATACATTACAGGACTTGATCAGAAGAATGAATGGAAGAGAAGGCCGCAAATAGATGTTTGTTTAAAAAGTCTTGATAATTCTAAAGATATAAAACAAGAATTGTTAGAAGAAGTAAGCAATTATAATTTATTATTAAAGTGCAGTAAAACTTATTTATCCTAATTAATATTTTAGGTTAAAAATCAACATGAACATGGGGGCGATTCGGAAATTGAGATTTATGGAATAACCAAGAACCAAAAAGACGGTAACTACATGATGGTTATGGAGTATGCAAAGCAGGGAAGTCTCAGAAAATTGTTAGGTAGTAAATATGGTGAATTAAATTGTGTTTCTAAAGTAGATAACTTACATCACATAGCCAATGGGCTAGATGCAATTCACAAAGCCAAATTAGTGCATAAAGATTTTCATTCCGACAATATAGTTAATAAAAATACGTATAGTTCTTACATCACTGATTTTGGCTTATGTAGGGCACTATCAAAAGACTCAAATTTGAAGGAACTTTTTGGTGTGATTCCATATATTGCTCCAGAAGTATTATACACAAATGGAAAGGAATATACTCAAAAATCAGATATTTATTCTTTCGGAATAATTATATCGGAAGTTTTTACTGGATATCATGATATTCCACATGACAATCAACTAGCAATTCGAATTTGTTGTGGTCTTAGACCTGAAATTATATGCGAAGTTCCTCAACTACTTTTAGATCTGATGAATAAATGCTTAGATGCAGAACCTCAAAACCGACCAACTGCTGAGAAAATTGTTAAATACGCTGAATCGTTTTTTTGAAGATTTGAAAAATGAAGAAACTGAATTATATAAACAAGTTAAAATATTAAAAATCTAGACAAAGACTCCTTAACATATGATCAAGTTAAATATCATACACATTCACAAGCTATTTATACAAGTCAATTTTTGAATCTTTCAAAACTCCCTAAACCAGATAATAACATTTATTTGTTTTTGTTTTTTTAAAAAAAACAGTATAATAATATGTTATTAATTGTAAAAATTTCTAATCTACCAATATAGTAAATGCAGGTAACATATTTATTTTCTTAAATTGGATTTAAATTATAGTTTTAGTATATTTATATGTATGTATTTTACAATAGGAAGTCAACTTATTGATTTTTAAATCCCCGACGGTAAGTAATATCTGATTTATTATAATTAAGGAAATTTATTGCTCATTCGCATATCGTTATTTTAGATCATTAAATCAGGTAAAAGAAAGTTGTTATTGACATACTACAATAATTCGGTATACTTTATATTCGTATCTAAAGTCAAAGTTAGTTGGCTTAATCTATAGTTAGCGTTAGATATAGATTGTTGGTAAAATAGTTGTTAGCGAGTTCTACTAAATTCATATTTACTATATATAAATTTATTTAACTACAATAAATATTATTATACTTTCTAAATCATTGTTATTATTGTTGTTGATAGCCTCGTTGGTGCTGAATTGATTCCTCAAAAAAGATTATTAGCACTCCGGTCTATAATAACAATATGTCAAATAGTTTTAAAGTTCAATAAAATTCGGACAAACCATTTTAAATTTATCATTACACATTAAATAATTCTTAGCTGAAAAGTATTTGTATATATGTAAGTTTAGATCAGATTAACAAGTTTAATGAGGATTGACTAAGTTAACACATTAACGTTAAGTCAGATATTCTATTGATTAAATTCGATATCAATATATATGAAGCCAATTAAATAGCTCGCATACGGTATTTTACAAATGCGCTGTAATGTATAGTATGATTAGGGATCTGCATGCCCGGCACATGCCCGTACCCAATACAAAAAAACTTAGAGCACAGGCTCAGGCATAGTCATAGGCATTTCGTTCCTAGTTTACAAATGCCAGGCATTTATTAGGCACCGGCACCATATAGGCACTTGCATTCGTACCAAGCACGTGCCTGTCACTAGTACCTAGAACAGCAAACTTTGTTAATGCATATTTATTTATTTGAAAGTTTTGTAGAAACCCGAAGGTCTTACTTTTATATAAACCAAAAACTTTTATTTATATATTTTTTGAAATTAGCATAAATATTCAATTATTTGTTTTATCACATTTAGTATAAATATGCAAAATATACAAAATATGCAAAATATGCCCAATATTCTAAATATAATGTAATTTAAATTTATTTAAAATATGAAAATAAAAAGAATTATTTTGTTTTTGAAGAGCAATAAGAGGCTAATTCATTTTGACTTTCTATAATCCATGAATGCATAAGTATCGTGGAAGCAACAGTTTGTTTACTAAGATTGGTTCTATCACTAGTGACTGTAAATCCAGCTCATAAGAATGCTTTTTCAATAACAACACTTGAAGGTTGAATGGCAAGATAATTGTGTACTATTTTACTGAAAATTGGAAATCTTTTTGATAATGATTTCCAATATAAAATTCCATTACTCTCTATATCTTTATTATTATTTTCAAACTCTTCAGGAGGTTCTCTTTCATATAACTCTAACTTATATCTAACTGTATTAGTTTCATAATGATTTTTTTTAAAATTTGTCTTTTAGGAAATAATAAATTAGATGTAGAATTATTAATTTTAATAATTAAAGTTGATTGTACATTTGTGTATTTCATTCTATACAAAATAATTTTTTGTCAAACATCATTAATAAACTGTTCTACAATATTATTATTATATTTGTCAACCTCAATTAAAGTTACTCTTAAATATTCAAATTTATAATGTGGATCAAGTACATTTACAATCAAGACATGATCATTTATTACATTCTAATATTTTTCAAACTTTTTTACTATTAAATAAATTGCATTATTATTTTTTTAGCTTTATTAATATGTTATAAAATTTTCAGTACCACTTTTGTAGCATCTGATATTAAATTAGTTTGATCTTTAAAAAGAACTAATGTAATAGCTTCAAATAGTTCAAGAAGTTGACAAACAGATTCAAATACTATTAATTTTTCAATTTCTAAACAAAAAAGCATTGTTAATTTATTTAAATATATATTATGAATTGCTAAATATTGTTATAGGTGAAAGGCTTCTTAATTTTCATACTACAATGATGACACAGCATAAAAAATCCTTTATGGGTATATGCAGTGTCTAAGAGGAAAGTATAACTTTTGTTAGATGTTGTTAAGAAACTATACTCTTCTTTGAGGCAGTTCAGGAAAAGTAATACAATACTAATAACTTTACTTTATTTTACTAAATGAAGATAAACCTTGCCTATAGGAATTACCCTAGAGAGGGAATATCAATACAATTTATAGTCAAAAGTTATTTATTAAAGTAATAACAAAAAGGACTATTTTTAGGTTTCTGTTTCTAAAGAATCCCAAGATGTGTTTACAATATTAAAAAAGAGAAGGGTGTCTGTTACTTAATCACATTTGGAGAATTTAACAGGGTTTATATATCTGTGAGCTAAGTAATTAAGTGGCCAAGCAACTAAGCAATTAAGTAACTAAGCATTAAGTGACTAAGTGACTAAGCAACTACTTGATTACTAAGTGACTAGAAGGTTTTAGCAACTAATGATTAATGATTACTAAGCAATTAATTACTAAGTGATTAAGCAACTAAGTGACTAAGTGACTAAGTAACTAAGTGACTAAATGACTAAGTGATTACTAATTGACTAAAAAGTTCTGGCAACTACTAGTAATAATAATAATAATACAATAATGAAATAACTAATACTAAATAATAATAATAAAAAATAAATAATAACTAATAATAATAAAATAATAATTTATTTTATAACATTTCTGTCCTTTTTAAAAATTTACTCTATAAATTCTATATTCTAATTGATTCAAGAAGTTGAATGTACTCATCATCTAACAACTTGATAATATGTGTTGCAGTCACATACTTCAATTGTAAGATTATTTCTTTTAGTTGCAACTTAAGAACTTTGTATATTCTGAGAGCATTTTTTCAAGTATTCTTTGCTTTTCTTGTTACTTAAACATTCTGAATAAAGTTTTTAATCTCTGAAGAATTATTAGACTTTGAGATTATTTGTTCCAAGTAGTAGTAAGCTTTAATTTTCTTGTTGAGATTATGTTGAGTTTATCCAAAAATAGATAAGGACTTTAAAATTCGATTAACTTGTCCTTTCTATGTTCCTTCAGAAAAAAAGTTAGTTATACTTCAAGTTGTTAGTACTGATATCTGTTTCAAATTATTTATTATTTGAGTTAGATGCTTAGTATTATTACTTTCTAACTCTGTAGATACTTCATTAAGTAGAGTTTTAATTAAAGAAGATTGTATTTCTTCTAATTGTAGAAATTCATCAATGTTGAATTCTACAGAAGCTTCTATTATAGAATTTAAGTCAATAACTTTTTCTGTTTTTTTATCATTCCAAAAAATAATATTTTGAGATAATATATTTAAGTAATTTTGAGATATAGAATCCTGTTTTCAGATTTAGAAAAAGTTGTTTAAAGCAATTATTGTTTTTGATTGTAATTTTAAAAATTCTATTTTAGGAAAATTTGTATAATTTGAGGGTGTTTATATAAATTTTTAAGTATTATAATCTTCAAATAAATTTAACATTGAAAAATTTAAGTAATATTATTATCTTTTCTTCTAGTTTTAGAAATTTCTTCTAGAAATTCTAATTATTCAATAAGACAAAAGGTTCCCATATTTGTTTTTCATAATATTTAGCAAGACAGTCACTATTATAGTATTTTTGTAATGTTTTTCTATTGTCATTACAAAGTTTATAGGTATCATTGTTCAATTTTCTTGAATAATGAAGGGTCCAGTTTTTTTATCTTTGAATTTAGCTGATTGAGAAAGTTTTATATCTTTTCTAATTATCCATATTTTGTTACCAATTTCAAAAGTTTTATGATGGATTTTGGCATCAAAGTATTTTTTCTGTTTCTGTTGTGATTCATTGGTTTTTTCTCTTACATTGTTCTGCAATTCAGATAGCTTGTCAATAAACTCAAATACTCAGTGCAATATGCTATCTTATAAGTCATATTCTGTTTCTTCATAAGGTTTAATAGATAATAAAGCTTCAATTGGGAGAACAGCTTGTTGTCCATATACAAGCTGATAAGAAGTATATTCAGTTGTAGCATGCTTATTGTTTGATAAGCAACCAGTACAACAGGTATATGTAAGTTCCAGTCATCATCTCCTTTTACTTTAGCTAATAATTCACATAAGATTCGATTAAGACATTCAATCATTTCATTCATCTGTAGGTAGTATGGCAAAGAGAACTTATACTTGATAAAAACTTTTTACATTGAATGTAAACAGTTTTATTAATAAAATTTCTTCCTTAATCAGAGAGAATAATCTTTGGTTTTCCATGTTAACAAATAATTTCTTTGAAAATGAACTGAGCTAAGGTATTTGCTCTGGCATCAGGTATAGCATGGGCTTTTGGTCATTTTGTTAAATAGTCAGTAGCAACAATAATATATTAATTATTTTGCTTAGTAATTGGTAGGAGTTCTACTAAGTTAATACTAATTTGTTCAAAGGCTTGTTCTATTTAAATAGGATAAAAAGGTTTAGTTTATTTGCTTTTTAGTCTCTTTTGACATTCTTTATATATTTTAATATATTTTTGTATATCTCAATACATTTGGTCCTAATAATATCATTTAGCTATTTTATAGTACATAGCATCTGTTTCTAAGTATCCTGCAGTAGAATGTTTATGCATTATATACAGAACAGGTTCTACTTTATTCTATTTAATAACATGAAGAGAGTACTAAGGGTTCTTTTTGCTTTTTTTATATAATAGTCCTTTCTTAGTAATAAAATGTCTAGCCTGATGTTGTATTTGTTTAGTCTGTTCCTGTGATAAAGAGTTAGATAACTTGTCTGATTCTATATAATTATATAAATTATAATAGAGGTTCAAATTCATGAGAAAAAATTTTGGTATAAGGTCTGTGTCTGTAGTCAAGATGAGACATCTACATTGGAGTGAACTCTTCCTGATTTATGAATAATTTTAAAGTTATAGGGCTAAAGTTTTAGAATTCATTTTTCTAGATATCCTTTAGGTTCAGTAAATTGTAACCACTTGAGAACAGAATAATTAGTGACTAAAATGAATTTGGCAGTTTCAAGATATTTATGAAAATGTTCAATAGTCTATACAATTGCTGCACATTTGAGTTCAGTAGCACTATAATTGACTTCTCTTTGGTTAAACTTTTGCTGATATAAGTTACAGAATATTCTTTTTTGTTTTTATCTAATTGACTAAAAATAGTTCTGAATCTATAATAAGAGGCATCAATAGCTAAAATAAATAGTCTATCAAAGTCAGAATACTTTAATATAAAGGCTGTAGTAAGTCTCTGTTTCAATTCTTTGAAAGCTTCCTGTTGTAGTTCATCTCATATATAAGGAGTTTCTTTATATAGTAGCTGGTTTAAAGGCTGTGCTACTTTAGAAAAGTTATAAATGAACTGTCAGTAGTAACCTACTAGTCCTAAGAATAAACATAGTTAGGTTACATTATTAAGTGGTTGGATCTTTTGAACAGCTTTTATCTTTTGAGAATCAGGTGCTATTTTAATTAAGATAACTATATGTTCTAAGAATGGTAGACTTTGCATCCAAAAATTATATTTTTCTAAGTTTAATTATAAACTGGCTTTTCTGATTCTAATAAAAGTTTGGCATAAATGTTCTAAATATTCATCAAAGGTCTTAGAATATACTATAGTATCATCAAGATAGACTACTACAAATTTTTATACAATATCTTGGTATACTCTATTCATTAATTGTTGAAAGGTTGCAGGTGCATTACATAGTTCAAAGAGCATTATATTAAACTCATATATACTATATTGAGTTACAAAAGCAGTTTTTTCTCTGTTTGTAGAGTGCATAGCAACTTGCCAATATCCACTTGCAAGGTCAAGTATAGAGAACCACATCCTTTTAGAGTATTAAGCATTTATCAATACAAGGTAAGAGATAAGCATCTTTCTTAGTAATACTATTAAGTTTACAATAGTTAATACAAAATCATAATTTGCTATTTTTCTTTTGAACTAATACAACTGATGAGATTCAAAGGCTAGAGAAGAGTCGTATAAGTCCACTATCAAGCATTTACTGAATTTTTTCTTTAATAAATATCTGTTCTGTGAGAGAAGAAGAATAAAATTAAGATTGAATAGAAGGTTCTTCTTCTGTATAGATTCGATAAGTTAAAGGTCAGTGCATCCTAATTCTGTTGTATTTTATGCAAAAAGATTTGAGAATTCTATCAGCAGCTGGCTAAATTGTTTGCTTTGTTTAGCATCTAAAGATCCAATATTCAATTTAGATGGTTCTGGACTAATACTATATTCTTCATAAGGTATCATAATGTCTATTGTAAAAACTTGATGCACATTGTCTGGTTCAACAGATAGTTTTTTATCCTGCCTGAGATGATCTAAAAATTTGACTTTTCCCATTCCTAAGCAAGAGAAGTATATTGTTGTTGGGTGGTCTGGACATCTTGTTGGAATATTTGTAGAAGGGTTTAAGTGAAACTTTCTAACTTTTCTACCTTTTGTTGGAGCTATAGAATAGGTTGGTTCTAAGTTTCAACTTGTTGTTGTAGTTGTGCAACTTGTAGTTGCAAGGGGTTTGGTTCTGGTAGAGTTGCATTGATAGAGCTGGATAGAGGTTCTACTGGTTCTAATGTAGGAGGTTTATAGATAGGGACTGATAAAGGAGCACAGTCCTGGCAATATCCTTGGTAGATGTCTAATTTATCTTGATGCTTAACATGTAAGCATTTCTTGCAAAGGTCAACAGAAGCATTAAACTGTCAATGAAGGTTAGCAATGACAAGCTAATAGTCAAATTCTGGATAGCTAATATCAAAAGATTTAACCAAGATTTGTTGAAGAAGTTGCTTTTCTTCTTCATTAAGGACAGCTTGTTCAGCTTGTAAGATAAGGTTCATTTCTTCATAGAT